AACTCTGCAAAAAGAAACTTATTTGTTTTTTGTGAAATTCCCAACTGAATTCATCCGTGTCCTGATTTCCTGACGTGGTTCCTGGAATATATTTTCCTTATGACTTAATATTTGAGCTGATTTCCTGTCTGTTTTGTCTAAACACCTTCCTGTACCTTTATTTTTGTGCGTTTTTCTGGTGTTTTGTTTACACCTGAGCTCCACTCACAGCAGGAAGGAGGACGCTCACGCAGACTCAAGCATGCAGATAGGAGCTCTTTCGGTGGTTTATTTTAAAAAATGTAAAACAGTGGCTTCCTGGGAGGTTTGGTGTGCAGGTAACGGAAAACAGGAGGAATAAAAACACGAGAGGAAGGGAATTCATCTGGGAAACTAAAAGTTGGCTCAAGGAGTTTTGTTTTCTTTGACTTCTCTTCATTATCCCACACCTGGAGGTGTTACTGTGTACTAATAAGGAACCTTTGAAGAAAGTGTCACAAATGTATGTTTTGGCATGAAAATTATATTCTGAGAACCTTACGGAAATGTACAAAAGTTTCTCCACAAATATGCATTTTCCTAGTCTGCAGGGCTGCACGGTGGTGCAGCTGGTGGCACTGTTGTCTCACAGCAGGTTACAGGTTCAAATCCCAGCAGTGTGGACTTAGCATGTTCTCCCCATGCATGAGTGGGTTTTCTGCAGGTACTCTGAGCTCCTCCCACAGACCAAAAACGTGCATATTAGGTTACGTTGAAGGTCACTTTGGAGAAAAATGTCTGCAAACTGCAAAAGCTTTCCTAAAGTGCATTTAGATGCTTTTAAAAATGAGTTCTTCCTGTTACTTCCACAGGGGCGCTTCCAGAGAATGTTGATGGGGTGGCCAGATGGGGCCAAAGAAAGTTTTGTGGTGGCACACCAAATTGGTCCTGGTTGAATCTAGTCAGTGGCGATGTGCTGCATTGCGCCTTTATTAGTTTTTATTAAAATAAATTAAAAAATCAGTACGTATCCAAAACATTTCACTTAAATTTTACAAACACAAACATTCTAGAAAAACACATCTCAGTTATTTAAAATGTTATCCCAAATTTAATTTAAAAATGTGTTTTTAGGTTAATTCACCTGTTGCTGTGTTCACAAAAAAATAAAATGAAATAAATAAAAAACTACGGAGATAAAAACTTTTCTTAAATGGTGATTAACAGAAACATATGTATTATTTTTATTCTGATTATTTATTTACTCATTAACTGTAATGTATTTATTTTGTTTTACAATTATGTCTTGAATGAACAAGATCAATAAATGGTTTGACTGAACATCAATATGATTTGTTAACGCTGCCTTTTCCTGGGCGAGGGGTGCCATTAATTTTCTAGGGGTGGCCATGGCCACCCCTGGCCACCACTTGGGGACGCCCTTGTACATCCACTCCAAGGATAAAAGCACAACAAATGTTATTTTGAAGCAGAAAGAGTTGTTTTAAAAGGGTAAAGGTCGTGTAAAGCTGATTATAATAAGGTAATGGCTAATGATGTTTCACTTTTTATTTAAATATTTCAATTGTTTTACTTTAAAGGGGCATTATGGAAGTGTGACAGCCAAAACATGTATAGAAATAATAAATGTCTTCTTCATTCATTCTCCTGCAATGCCCTGGTCCTGTAGAATGAGCCCTGGCATTTTTACTGTGATTGCCTGTTTTTCTGTAAAATCACAGAAAAAGAGAGATGCTCGGGTCGAGCAGGCTGCTTCATGCGCGTTCACGCTCAGGCATCGCCCGTAGCATTTGCTATCCGTAGCTTTAGCAGCAGAGAGAGAGGCAGTGCCACTTTGTCGCTGTTCCTAACGCCTAGTGACAAAGCTAGCTACATTTCTGAGGACCCTTAGCTACTTTCTGTAGAACTTTCTTCTAGATATTTCCTGCTAATTAGCAACAAAATAGCCATTTTCACTCCGAACCGTTCTTTGAACGTTGTTTCAGCTGTCATCAAGGATATAAATGTTACAGATACAAAGGACGTCACTGGCGCTTTAGCTCAGCTAGTAAGACGTTGGACTCTCGTGCAGAAGTCCTGGGTTTGATTCTGGATGTGTACATAGTTTATTTAGAGTTTATTTTTACATTAATGGTATATTTTTTTACAGTAAATTTTTATTTGAGACTCGCCGAACGGCATTGAATTCACAGATAAAAAAGATGTGGGTTCAACTTTCATTTTGGAACAATTTTTCAAGCAAGGGAAGGGAATGATCTGAGCATGCAGGAGGACTGACCCATCATGAACCTTTGTCGCTGTGCTGAAGAGAAAGGTACAGAACCACATTATTTAATTAATTAGCTGCGCGTTCTCCTGTCCTCTGTCCTCCGGGCCACACACACACACACACACACACACACACACACACACACACACACACACACACACACACACACGCACACACACACACACACACACACACACACACACACACACACACACACACACACACACACACACACACACACACACACAGGACTGACTGTCTAAGCTGTTATTTTCGTTAAGGAGTGTGCACGTACAGCATGCCCGCCTCGTGCACGAGCCTCCTATTGAAGCTGCCGTTACACTTTTGGCCTGAGGGGGCAATCGCGAGCATAAAAATTCAAAACTCCGTAAAGTCCCTTTAAGAATTGATTTTCAGTTTTATTTTGTGCATGATTTTAGGATGAAGTCAGGGGAAAATGGTGACAACCTGCTGGTGAAAGGGTTATTACAGAAAAGACACATTTTCCTGTGATGTCACCAATGGCGCCCTCAAGTTAATGGATCCAAGCCAGTGTTAATCAATCATATTAATGTTCACACAAACCACAAACTCATCTTATTGAACCCAACAAAAAATATACAATAATTAGTGAAGGAATAATCAGAATTTTGAAAATACACACACGTTTCTGCTGCTCACCATTAAAAACGTACGTATCTCCACAGGTTTTCGTGAACACAGCAACAAGTGAATTAAAATCAAAAATGTAAATTTTAAAATAACATTTTAATAACTGAAATGTATTTTTCTGAAATGTTTGTGTGTGTAAAATGTGAGTTAAGTGTTTTGGATATGTACTGTTTTTAAAATCAAAATGAACGAAGGAGCGATGCAACACATCGTCACAGGCTAAACTCTCCCAGAGTTTCCACAAGGACCAATCAGGTGAGCCACCCCAAACACTTCTTTGCCCCATCTGGTCACCCCCATCAAAATTTTCTGGAGGCGCCCCCCTGGGTGTCAACCCCCCCCCCCCCCCCCCACCCCCCCACCCCCACCCCATAGAAAATGCAGACCTTCATTTAGTTCAGACCTGTCCTTGAAAAGACCAGACGTGTTCGCAAGGAACAACCATAAAAACTAATAATCATAATAATATTTTTAAAACACCTGACGTGTTTGACCATTTGATATTTTTGGAACGTTCCTAAATGTTGCAAGCAACAAATGGTAAATGGTCTGTATTTGTATAGCACCTCCTTAGGGGTCTACAAGGTGCTTCACAATCAGTCATCCACCCATTCACACGCTGGTGATGATGAGCTGCGATGTAGCCACAGCTGCCCTGGGACACACTGATGGGAGCGAGGCTGACAAACACCGGCGCCACCGGTTCCTCCGACCACCCCCAGCAGGAAAGGTGGGTAAGGTGTTTTGCAACAAGGACACAACAGCAGCATTCTCTGGTGAGGCTGGGATTGAACCCGCAACCTTCTGATTACTGGACAACCTCCTGAGCTGTAAAGTGATAAAACGTGGGGTTTTGCAGGATTAAAATGCAGCTGAACTACTTTTACTATTTGTAATTAAAATCTAATCTTGTTTTTCATGATGGACACAACAAAACCACCTAACTTGTAGCGGCGGATGGCTGCTCATACTGAGCCAGGATCCTCTGGAGGTTTCTTCCTGTTAAAAGGGAGTTTTCCTCTCCACTGTCGCTGCATGCTTGCTTAGTATGAGGATTGCTGTAGAATGACACTAGTCAGTGACTCGATGCGACCTGCTGGGTTCCTTATATAGGAAACTTTTTACTGATTGGCTTAATGACCTGACCTGAATTGGAATGTGTGAAGTTTCTTGGCACAACTCTCGTCGTGATTTAGCTCTTTATAAATAAACCGAACTAAACCAGATCTGCTAGTTTCTCTTCCAGACACTGCCTGAATTTTTTATTTTGTTGTCAGAATCCTTCTTTTCTCTTAACTGCAGCACTGATCCTTGAAGCTATCCCACCAGCAGCAGAAAGCAACATCAGCAGCTCCTCCAACCTTCAGAAGATCCACAGCAGACGGCATGAATAAAGCAAAGGGAACAAGTGAAATGCAACTGGAGCTAAAAAAAATGGACTGCAGCCTCGGCATGCAGACACTGAGAATGCATCACATGATTTACTCGCAGCAAACAGCTGAACTCTCCTTCTGCAGGCTGTTAAAAGGACCGTGAGACCCACTGGAAACCTGCATGAGGGCCTGGGGGGAGTTTTCTGTGCAGCTTTACATCAAAACTCATCTTCCTGCGGGAGTGGGAGTGAAGCTGCTGACAAGACCAGTTTACAGAAAACTAGCTCATGTGAAGCACCAGCTTAATAGATCCCAGACCTAACTTGCTGAAAATTTAAATAAAGTCGCCTGCAGCCCTGATCCAATGCTCTTGCAGGAAAACAACCCCAACGACCCCTTTTCAGACTTGGGATAAATCCTTAAATTTTAAATATTGTGCATCTGAAACTGTTCATTTATTCAAGAATCATTCTTATTTTGAATGTTTTATTCACTAAGTGCCATGATGTGAACATTTAGCATTTTTATGATTTCATATATAAACTTTGAACAGTTAAATCTCTTTTGGTCAATTTGAAGCAATGGCGCCCCCTGCTGGAGAGCTGCTTTAAATAGAAATATTTGAGTACCTTAAATAATTAGTATTTTGTACATTTAAACAGATCTGCACGTGCAAGTAAACAATACTTAAGTCTCAAGCCAAGGACAACAGGTCAAGGGTATTTATTAAAAGATAAAATATGCAGTCATTACCCCAAACATGCACGTTTTAGAAAAAGGCTTCAACTTGTAAAAAATGTGAAGAACACGGTGAGGACAATATCAGCCTGCAGACGTTTGCAGGTAAATGTTTAAAGTTCTGATGCGATCCAGATCCTTGCCTGATATTTTTGGCTGCCGGCTGCACCTCTGAAGTCAAACGTAGCTGAGAAAAGGCAGGATGTTTGTTGCACGGCGAGGAAAAATACTGCAAGATCAACTTTTAGTGATCACGGCAGCCGAGGCTCACAGCTGTCAGGGTGCAGCTTCAAGTTCAACGACTTGCTCTAAAATGCTGTAAACATTCACACAACACACGGTTGGTACAGTACGCGTTCATTTGGATATTTGGATGTAAAAAAAATCTAACTTGACTTAACTTTTCTTGTGCAGTTCAAAATATTACAGTAAAAGGAACAAACTTCTCACATTTAGCTGCTTTTAGTCAAATGTCCAAAAACATTTTCTCAGTAAAAACTTGTTATAGTAAATATTGTAATTTCAAGAAAACACAAAACAAGATATGTTTATATAAAAAATGGTTTTAACAATTTGTTTTCAGTATAAAACATCACATATTCCCAAGCCAATCAAACAAATTCACGGTCATCATTCCAATAATAATGAACTTCCCAGTCAAACGATATACAATGACACAAAAAGGGTTTTCGGCTGTTAGAGGATTTTCTTTTTTGCTAATTACGGGGAAAATAGAACAACACAAAGTCTAACAATCACTCTTCGTTTTCTATAATAATAATAATAAAAAAGAACAAATGTGAACTCCTGGTCCGAACAAATTCCAAGCCCCGAAATTCCTGGTCAACGTGGCGTCTATGCAGTTTTCTGCTGGCCCTTCTTCCCGATGAGGGATTTGTGGATGTGGGGGATGACACCTGAGAGGCAAAAAACCCCAAAAATTACTTCGATGTGTTGAAGAAATCCAGAAAGCAAAATATACGTCCAGGAAAACTATGAACGTACCTCCTCCAGCAATTGTTGCTTTGATAAGGGAGTCCAACTCTTCATCACCACGGATTGCCAGTTGCAAGTGACGGGGGGTGATACGCTTCACCTTCAAGTCTTTAGAGGCATTTCCTGCCAACTCTAGTACCTGATCAGAAAGTAATGTTTAGTTAAAAACAAAGAAACCGAGCAGAATGCAGAAACTGGGAGGACTTACTTCGGCGGTGAGGTACTCGAGGATGGCGGCACTGTAAACAGCTGCTGTGGCTCCAACACGACCGTGGCTGGTTGTGCGGGTCTTCAAGTGTCTGTGGATACGACCCACTGGGAACTGTCAGGAAGCAGGCACGAGACAGTGGTTTCAACAAACCAAAGCTACGAAATCTCCCATCCAGCAGGGATTGGAAGACATCTGCAGAAAAAGCCACAAACTGCCAAATGAAGGCTGAATATTTACCTGCAGCCCAGCCCTCTGGGAGCGAGACACCGCCTTTGCCTTGGCTTTCCCGCTGTCTTTTCCTGCTTTTCCACCTGCCTGCATGAAGAGACGACCACACACTGTCAACAGCCAAACGTGAGAAGCAATGCAGTCTCGTACGCTCAAATAAATCTCAGTTTTTAAGACTTCATAGCCAATTTACACACATCTAGGTAACAGTGTAATCAGATTACATAGTGACTACATGTTTTTGCCTGTTGTAATTACTGCATCTTATACAGACTAAATGCATCATAAATCAGATTCATTACAAAACACTGTCCAGAGTTGCAGGACTTGTTGCTACCGAAAATAACTGCATTCCTCAAAAAAGAAAAGAAAATCCAAGTTACTGATTCACTCTCTAGCACTGGTTAACCCTTAAAACACATATCCACACACAATTAATGTAAAGCACAACATAAAGCAACTAGTTAGAATGGCTAATCTTTTAGATAAGGGAAAATGACCACGTAAACAACGTTTAACCACGCCCCCAAACGTTAAAAAACATTCAAACCAAGCCAAATTAAAAGCTAGTCTACGATCCTGACTAACAAAGCCAACTAGTAAAGATTGGTGATATAAAGCTTTGTTTAGGGATGTGTATTTTTTATTAAATAACCAAAACAATTATAATTAATATGCTTAAATGAGCTGGAAGTTACCGAAAGGGATTAAATCACTCAACTACATCGAGCTAAAACTCAATAAAAGATCGATCGTGAAAAAACCGGGTGGCGTTAGCTTGTAACGTTCGACAGCCGGTAAACAGTCGTCGCTTTCCCGCCAAGGACAAACACAACAAACCAAAGGCGGCTACTTGCAGCCACTATGATCTTAAAGTGGATGAAAAATGGGCCGATGAGATCAAAACAGCCAAAACAACTCGGACTGACCCCCCACCCTATAATCAACGCAGAATATGTCAACCAAAAACCCGCGTGAAACAAAACAGACGCGCCGCCGCGAGACCATTCAAGTTTTCATTCAGAGGACTAAAGAGAGAAGTTTCCACTCACGCTCTTCTTGGCGCCTACAGTCCACGCTCGTCGTTTCTACCAGTTCCTCCTTAAAAACAGTCGTTTATAAAGACCTTAAAGTCAAGTGCTAACAGCTCGTCCAAGTTGAAGTGAGAATGAAACGGGTAGACCTAGCCTGCTAACGCTCACCTTCCACCGAAGCTCACAGGACACTTTTATGAATCAAAGCCGAAATTCCCGGTTAAGCCCTTTACTGACGTCGAAAATAAAACTTACTAAGAACCAGTTTGGATCAATACCAATACAACCTTAAACCGAAAGACTTTAAAACACCGTTCGTGATCATGCTAACGCGTTAGCTGACACTTAGCCGTTTTAGCTAAGCTTTCTGACCACATACATTCTAATCGAAATTCCTTTAAGAAGCACTTTCTACAGATGCGTGTTCGTTACACCCTAAAAATGTCCCGACATTCCAGAAAATGCATCCAAACCATGACCTAAGCGTACGTACCATTTTCCGTCTCGTTATTTGATTGTAGAACTGAGTGGATAGCACACAATTCCAGCACCAGAAAGCAAAGAAACAATAAACCCTTTCGCAAATCTTTTGCATGCGACCCCTCGTGGGATACGGGCCAACCAATCAGAGTTAGCGTTGCTACTTCGAATCTTCCCGTTGACCAATCGTTATACGACGTGCAGAAATCTCACCCATCCCCCACACATGGACTGTCTTTGCGCACGAAACCAACAAGTAGGCGGGACTGTGAGTGTGTTGAATGTCCTTCCAGGGACACCCAGCCCAAAAAATGCACAAAATAAATAAAACCAGTTGAAGTTAACATTTCATTTTCATAACAAAGACACTTAAACCTTATTTGCGTGAAAATACACGTGAAAAATACTTTAAAACATTAAAAGTTAAAAGAGCACGAATCTTCTGACTGAAACTCCAATTTTACGATAAAGCGCAACGCTGATGAAGAGAACTCACGAACTGTAAATGAAATCCACTCGGATGTCGCTCAAGAGGCGGCGCTTTTTAGTGACGGGCAGAAGGGAAGGCTAATGAAATGTCAAACTTTCAAAGTGACATCATGATTGGCAGTAAAACCAGCCAACCAGAGTCCAGGAAGAAGCGTCCAGTATCCTCTGCTGCCGCGGAGATGAGGGGGAGGGGTTGGGGGTCAAAGAAACGCAGAGAAACGGGCTGCTGGTGGTGAAGATGGCGGATGGGGATAGTGGTAGTGAGCGAGGCGGCAGTAGCGGCGGTGGTGGAGGAGGAGGAGGCGGCGGCGGTTTCCAGCATTACCAGCGGGAACCGGAGACCCAGGAGCTGGCCTCCAAGCGGCTGGACATTCAGAACAAACGCTTCTACCTTGACGTAAAGCAGAACGCCAAAGGCCGGTTCATCAAAATCGCCGAGGTCGGCGCCGGGGGCTCGAAAAGTCGCTTGACCCTCTCCATGTCAGTTGCTGCGGAGTTCCGTGACTACCTTGGGGACTTTATTGAGCATTACGCCCAACTTGGGCCTAGCACCCCGGAGCAGATTGCTCAGTCATCCGGTGGCGATGACACCGGGCCTAGGCGGGCCTTGAAGAGCGAGTTTCTGGTGCGCGAGAACCGAAAATACTACCTCGACCTGAAGGAGAACCAGCGGGGTCGGTTCCTTCGTATCCGGCAGACCGTCAACCGAGGCCCCGGTTTTGGAGTTGGAGTGGGTGGCATCCCCGGGTCTGGCCTGCAGTCCGGACAAACCATCGCACTCCCGGCGCAAGGCTTGATAGAGTTCCGCGACGCCTTGGCCAAACTGATAGACGACTACGGGGGGGACGACGAGGACCTGGCCGGTGGCGGAGGAGCCAGGGGCTACAGCGAACTTCCGGAGGGCACGTCCATCATGGTGGACTCCAAGCGGTTCTTCTTTGACGTGGGATCCAACAAGTACGGAGTGTTCCTGCGGGTGAGCGAAGTAAAACCCAGCTACAGAAACTCTATCACCATCCCCTTCAAGGCGTGGAGCAAGTTCGGCGGAGCCTTCAGCCGTTACGCCGAGGAGATGAAAGAGATCCAGGAGCGGCACCGGGATAAGATGTACGAGAGGAGAACCGGAGAGGAGTCCGAGGGGGACGACGTGGACGACGATTGATGCGGTGGGAGAGGTGGCTTCTTGTGATTCAACGATGGCAACATGACGCAAAGCCCGGAGACGCACGAGAGACGGAGAGGATGTTGTGCATGACGAACTGAACTCTTAAATGCTAAAATAACGGAGTAAAACAAAGTATATTTGACTGAGAAATTCTATGTCTAAAGTTTAGGTGGATGTTATAGCCAGTGGAGTGCGGACTGCAGTAGTCGGCCTCTGTATGAGATTCCCCATTGATAAAAATATATATTTAATATATATCTATATATAAATATATTGATTGTGCATTTGATAACCTCACATGTAGCCCAGCAGGTTAGGTTCGGCAGAGGCGCATCGGCAGGTGACCCGTGCTCTTCCTGAGAGTCGCCCGGTGCTGACCCGTAGTCCGTGTGATGAATAGGAAGAAAGCCTAAACTGTGCGACGCGCTCGAACCAGCAGCTGCAGGGTGGATGTGTGAGCAGGAACGCCAGCGCCGCTCACCGTCGTCATTTGTGTTTAAAGTGACCCGTAACAAACCGCTTGTCCAGACAGATCCGCAGCACCCAGAGCCGCCGCCTCGGCTTACGTGGGGGACAACGCAGGACGTCCTCCCAGCCCAGCCGGGTCCGGTAACGGCTGTCTGTTACAAGCACACGACTCATTTGGATTCACCGCACTATCCAAATAAGTCCAAACGACCTCCCTTTTTCTTCCTCCCTTGCACCCCCCCTCTCCCCCTGAGCGTCCCCTCAGGTGCTCATCTCTTGCTCCGACAGCCGAGATGCAGAGAGGCCTGCTCACATGTGGCTTGTTGTGTCTCAGGGCTGGAAAATCCCTTCCACATTCTGGGATGTACCAGCATTACTCGTGCCTGTGCATCATCCTCGAGAGGTTCTGGGTGCAGATCTGGGTCCATCCAGCAGCTGCAGCGGAGTCGTCTGGCAACTGATGACGTCTCCTGTGATACGGGGCCACATCTGACCCGTGTGACCTTTCTGTCAGAGGGGACGCGGCGAGCACAGGCCTTTCACGCCGGTCACGACTCTACAAGTTAAAGCTTAATATTGCCAGGGTTGAGCTATAAACTCGAGGGTGTCCTCGGTGCATCGCTTGGATCCTTGAATCTTGAACTCAGACCATTTATGACTGAAGCGATTTCAGTCTGATTGTAACAAAAATTAGGTGCTTTTAAAAAAGGAAAACCCACAATGGGGTGTTGTATCTAATATATATATATATATATATGTATAAATACATACATACATATATATGTACTGGAAGAGATTTACTGACTAAAAAGATCAAATATAGATAGAATTATTTTGAAAAAGATATATTAAGAAATGTCTTTAATAGGAGACATTTATTAGATAACGCCGCCTAAAGTGGCTTATTTAAAACACTAAACTTGGATGCAACTGTCCGGGGTGATATTTCATACCTGCTTTTTTCCTAATAATTCTTTCATTCCTTAGAGGAAGTTTAAAGCCGATCGATTTCTCTGGTATCTTCTAGCAATTTCTACAGGCAACCTCTTTGAGGCACTCCAGTTCACTTTACACAGCTTCAAGTTGTCTGCTCATTTCAGACCACACCTTTTACCACGCCGTCATAAACTGGCGTTCCATCAGTTGCCATATGACGCTGACACACACACACACACACACACATGCAACCATCAGCATCGTGTTTTTAATGCTCCTTTTAAGAAAATTCTCTTCTTTAGCATGCCTGCTCCCGCGCCGAGCCGCCTTTCTGTTCCTTTTGCATCGTATGATTGCTGTTTGATGGTTATTTATCCGTTTCTTTTTAGTGCAAGTTTGATTTCTGTGCTGCAATAGACTTAAGAAGGTTTACCCCTCTCAGCCTAAAGCGAATAAGAAAAAGCCACAGCGTTCCCGTGTTCCGGGGAAAGTCACTCATTGTCCCACTTCCTTTAGCGTGTGCGAAACCTTTAGTTGGATTTGACTTCACCCACTTCAACACAGCAAAGAAACGCCATAAAAAAGAAAAACACCTGGGAGCAATAGTTTTTTTTTCTTTTCTATTGATATAAATATATATAAGACTACACATGCGATTGAACTACATCCTTCTTGTACTGTGTTACGTGAAATGGCAGCTGTTTCAGTCGTGTGTGTTTCTGCTGTAATATTCTACCAAGATCCTTTCAATGAGAAATAAAAAAAAGGTTTTTGCTCAGGAAAGTTTGGCTGTTTTTATCCTACAAATCCAACAGAGCCTGTTAAAATCCACAAGTGTCGCCCAAAAGCTGTACGAGTACACCAAGCATTTCATAGTAGTTACCTGAAACTACTTCAATCAGCAAGAAGTTCATGAAATATTCAAAACTGAAGTACTTGAATACATCTTGTGTAATCTTAGTCTGCACTGCTGCGTTTGCGGTTTGCTGCTTCTAAAAGCGGAATAATCTGATGTTTCTGAACTAAATCGATCAGATTTTTCTTTAAAAGTTTGTAAAAATAACATCATGATCCAAGAAGGAGCTTAAGGTGGATCATCCGTGTTTCTAGTGACGGAGGACCATCGGTGTTCTTGACGCAGTCAGTGATAAGTGGGTTTTTTGTGCACATTCAAACTATCGGGCTGTATGATATTAGGAGAACCTGCGATATTCGATAACTGATTAATCTTGCGATTAACAAAAACTTAACTCAGAAACAAAAATAATCAAAAAGAGAGAAATAGAATAAAAATGAGAAAAGCAAAAGATGTGAGGAAAGAGAAAAAGAAAAGGCAATCGGTGGATCTCGGGAAATGCAGATTCGGGAGGGACTGGGAGTAGAGCCGCTGCTCCTCCGGATCAAAAGGAGTCAGTTGAGGTGGTTTGGGCATCTTGTCTGGACGCCTCCCTGGGGAGGTGTTTCGGGCATGTCCTGCCGGCAGGAGGCCCCCGGGTCGACCCAGGACACGTTGGAGAGGTTACATCTCCAATCTGGTCCGGGAACGCCTTGGGGTCCTGCCGGAGGAGCTGGTGGAGGTGGCCGGGGAGAGGACGGTCTGGAGCTCCCTAGTTGGGATGCTGCCCCCGCGACCCGGACCGGATAAGCGGGGGAAGGCGACGACATTCATTATGATATTTATCTCTTCTTTGCGATATGCATATTGTGCATGCTGATATTGCGATAACGATATATTTACGATATATTGTGCAGCCCTAATTCAAACTAAAGAAATAAATTCACACCAAAGGTGATTTATTCGGTTTGCAACCGTTTTAAACTTATAAATAAAACATAAATATTCAATTTCTGCAGGTTTTTACTTGTGAGGCTCAGGCCGCCACGGAGGTGAGAAACTCAGACTCTGGGGACAGTTTTAGTTTGTTTTTCCAGCAGGGAGCTTGGAAAACTCTTCCTTCGCCTTCATCAAAGTTATTTTCTGCACCAAACTGGTCCCACACGCCTCTTAGATATTAAAACAAAACAAAAAAACATGATTTTACGCATTCCTGGCTTAAATATGACCAGATTGTCTCTTCAAAAGCCGACAAAGTCAGGCGAGGCGCAGTCGTGCAACTGGTTTGAGCAGGATGCTGCTAAACCGGCTCGGTTTCAGGTGAAGCGCTGACCTTTCCGACCTTCCTCCTGAAACAGACGACGATGTTGGAGTGAGCTGTCAGGTGCTGCCGCAGCAGAGCTGTCTGGAGACCCGGAGTTACGTTCAGACAGGTGCTGACTTGTGCTAACGTGTCATCACGACGTCGTTATGCAACCCGGTGACGTCTGAGGCGGTCTCATCCGCGTCTGTGAGGGGGACAGCCTGTTAACTGCACAGGTGTGTGGGAGGTGGAGTCAAACTTCACATGAGCCTCGAGAGGAATCGTTCGTGTTACATCGTCGCATGACGTCGCCTCATCAGGGTGATGGTGATGGACTAAAGCACCATCCTCCTTGATTTAACCTTGTGATTCCGCTGCTTCTTCATGTGCACGCACTTCCTTTGGCGCCACTACCACCCCCCCAGTGTCACACACACCCTCACACACACCCTCAGTGACCTCTGCGTGCTGAGTGAAGAGTGCTCAGAGAGGCAAAATGAAGAGGGACGTGAGTCAGAGAGACAGAGCAGCTCGAAGGCACGTGACACCACATCGAGCTCGTGCAAGAGAGGATTATTTCTCATGGCTCTGGCGCTCTGATGGCCAGAAATACAAGCCACGCTAAGCCGTTCCCTGTCGCTCGGAGCAGGTGAGGACTGATCTCTCTGCAGCACAAAAGTCCCGCTTCGCGTCAGCTGAAAGCACCCGTGCACGCAGCCACTCCTGCGTGGTGATGCACGCCGTTCAAACAGCAGGAAGAGCTTCACCAGAAGGCACGAAACCTGCTAAATCCATCAAACGTGGATGCAGAACATGCGTTGGATTATGCAGCATGTCCACCGTTGGTGGAGTTTATCATAAAACACGGAGAAATGGAAAAGGACTGGATTAGTCAGAAAAGCAGTGAGCACACAAACAGTTTATGCAGCTAATCTGAGAGCGTCACTAATTCAGAGATTACAGATTTGTTTGGGACCTCAGAGTCTAAAGCATGACAACGCCAATGTAAACATGTGTTGCATCGAACACGTCGGCTGCAACGAGAAACATTCTGTTCTCTGGGACATTGAAGGTTTATCATCCAGAAACGTGCACGTCGGGCAATTTATGCAGCATGTTGCAAGAAAAACTGTAATCGTTTAGTCCATCCTGCCTGAATCAGCTGATTCGAACGTTCCCTTGTCAACAAAATCAAAACAAATCCTCCCTCTGAGTGATCAGTCCGATCTGGCTCATCGGGAGAACCGGCAGGAATCTGGGCTCTCATTAGGAACGCCAACGGCGTGTGTTAGTATGTAAATAAATGAGGTTTAACAGTTTTCATAAGTCAGATTTTCTTTTATAAAGAGATAAAAAGAAATGGGTCAAAGCCGGGAGGAGAGCTGAGTGGGATGAAGTAGCTGACGGGATTTCATACGTCTAATTTGGACCGGAGCGGCCCGGAGATCCCACGCTTGCAGAGCAAATATCCTATAATAGTGAATGAGCTATTTTTAGCTGGTGTTGCCATGTGTGAGCAGACGGCCTCTGCAGCGCTCTCGGGCTAACGGTACGTTTTCAGCACACACAACATGCCGCCGGCCTAATCTCACACATGAATGGAGGGAATGATGGGCTCAGTTTCACAGAGGTGAAGCTGGCGAGGAGGACCAGCGAGCACGGGTTTCTGTTTATGGTCCAGCAGGGTCAGGATTCCAGGAAGGCTTCCAAAAACTAAACAAAGAGACACGCGTGTGCAGGCGAGACGAAGCTGGAGGCCTTCTGGGTCTGGAGTCAGTCTCTGCACCTCGCAGATCAGTTTAGGTGAGTTTGTGTGTTCGTGAT